GGGTTAAGGGTTCAGGGTCTAGGGTAGCCGTAAATGACCCAGATGGGGAAGCCGTAGTTTTCAGAACCTCCCAGGTCAAGAATCACTCCAACATGACTGCCACCTTAGAGGCCCTTGTCGTGCTCGGGCTTGGGATTCAAGGTTCCTTTGTTGAGTTGAGATTTAGGGCTTGGAATGTCGACTCGAGGGTTTACCCTAAACCCTAAAGCCAAACCTTAGAACCCTAAACCTTTGTTTAGGGTTTCGGGTTTGCGATTCAGGGCTCCCTGTCGAACGGCTGCTGAAGGAAGAAGAAGGCGCTTGGGATCCCAAAGGGCGCGCGGATTCGGATCAGAACGAAAGCCAAACTCTTGACCTTGCGAACTAAGCCCTAAACCCTGAACTCTAAACCCTAATCCATAAACTCTAAAGTAAGCTCTGTGCCCTAAACCCTACGGTTTAAACCCAAAGGCCCCCAGCGCGAAGTCCCAAAGCCAAGAACCCTCGGCGATATGTCTCCAATGCTCATCGCCCTAAACCGTCCAACCCCAACAACCCTAAACCCCAAACCCCCCAATCCCTAAACCCCTAGACCCTTAACCCTAAACCTCTAGACCCTAAACCCTAGCCCTAAACCCCCTGAACCCTAAACCCCTAAACCCTAAACGCCCCCCCTAAAGCCAGAAGCTCCAAAGCCTCCAGGCCCTAAGGCACAAACCTTGCGTAACTGCGCAGGAACCCTAAGGAGCCTGAGGAGCCTTTTAAGGAGCCGGTTTAGGGTTTAGGATTTAGGGGCTTAGGGGTTTAGGGGTTTAGGGTCTAGGGCTGAGGGGTTTAAGGGTTTGAGGGTTTAGGGTTTAGGGGTTTAGGATGGTTTAGGGTTTAGGGTACAAGAACCCGAAAGCCTCGACCCACCGCCGCAGGTCGAGAGTGATCTGGTCCATATCTCGGGCCCGTCTTCGATACAGGTCTGCCGACTCCTTGAAACGTTCTGGGTTTTTGGGCGCTCAAGGCTTAAACAGAATTGTAAGAAGAGTTCCCTAAACCCTACTAAACTCTAAACCCTAAACCCTAAACCCTAGACCCCTAAACCTCAAACCCAAAACCCCTAAACCCCTAAAGCCCTAACCCCTAAACCCTAAACCCTAGGTGGATGGCCGTGGCACTGGAGAGTACGAGTTGGTCTTCCAGCCCTTGCAGGCTGGCCAGGTCACAGGCCGGGTCTGCAAAAGGGGTTTAGGGTTTAGGGTTTAGGGGTTAGGTTTCGGGTTTAGGGTTTAGGGTTTAGGGGTTTGGTTTCGGGTTTAGGGTTTAGGGTTTAGGTTTTAGGGGTTTAGGGTTTGGGGCTTCGGGTTTAGGGCTTGGGGCTTCGGGTTTGCTACATGAAATCCATGTCCATTCAGCTTACATACAAAAGGCAAGTTCGGATGACCTCAGCGCAGTGTGTTGACAAGGCTGCATCATGTTCCGGGACACTCACACCGGGCACTTCACGTGGTACACCGCCTCTTGTCAGCACCCGGGGCTCCAGTTTGTGTGAGCATGATGCAGCATAAGCTACTCTCAGGTCGAGCTCATGACGCTGCCTCCGAAGCCGCAGCAACAGCTTACTTTGACATGTGTGGTGCGACAGGCTCTTTGCAACAGCCTGCATTGCTAAACCCTAAACCCTAAACCCTAAACCCCTAAGACCGACTAAAGGGCCTTCTGCCAGGGTTTCAGCCGTTGCAGGCAGTGGCTGTTGACATCCAGCTGGTGAATCCTCTTGATGATGTTGTGGTCTTCGAGGTGGGAGGGGTTTAGGGTTTAGGGTTTGGGGTTTCGGGTTTAGGGTGGGGGCTTTGCTGTCAAAGTTGCTACACAAAGAAACGCAAGACTACACAAACACCACCACGGGCCACCCCCGCCGCCCCTTCAACATCTACAATATTGGAGCTATGATACTATGCCTTGGATGGATAGTTGGTACTGCAGAATGAATTATTTTGCTCTTGCAATTCCGGAGCACAGTGATTTTTTTCAGGTGGCCCTGAACGGCGATGGCCTCCTTGGTGAGGTGCGCTGTTGTTATCGGTTGCGCAGAGCGCGAGATCATAATATACTATATCACAGTATAACATAGTATAAAACAGTATATTATAGTATAATAATATAGTATAATATAGTATGATCTAGTATATCACATTATGATACAGTATGACATAGCATAATGCAGTATAACACAGTATGATTGTACAATGTAGTATACGCGCCTGCTGAAGGGCTTCGGGTTTTGAGCATCCTTTTTCGGCTTTGTCGTCCCGTCTTCTTGCATCGACGCTCCTAAGCTCTAAACCCTAAGCCCTAAATCCTAAACCCTAAGCCAAAATCCCAACCCTAAACCCTAAACTCGGAGCCCTAAACCCTAAATCCTAGGCCCTCAGCCCTAAATCCGCAGCCCTGAACCCTAACCCCCTAAAGTCTAGTGCAAAAAAGCCCTAAACTCTAAAATCTTGCATCCTAAAGCCTGAACCCTAAGCTTTCCATCGCGAGGCAGAGTTTGTCTTGGCCCCGAAAGAAACGGCGACCTACGAGCTGGTCCGATGCTCGGTGACACGCGGCGAGGGGGACACTGCTGGGGTTTAGGGTTCAGGGCCCTACACCCTAAAGTAGAAGCCCAAAAGTTGGAAACCCAAGGGCCTCAATCCTTAAGAGTAATGTTAAGGGAATCCCGGCACTATTTGGCCTTAATCCGGTTTCCAACTTTTTGGGGTCTACTATACACCCAAAGTTCTCAAACCCCAGAACCCTCACAAACCCCTAAACCCTAAACCCTCACAAACCCCTAAACCTTAAACCCCCACTAACCCCTAAAACCCTAAACCCTCACCAACCCCTAAACCCTAAACCCTCACTAACCCCTAAACCCTAAACCCTCACTAACCCGTAAACCCTAAACCCTCACTAACCCCTAAAACCCTAAACCCTCACCAACCCCTAAACCCTAAACCCTCACTAACCTGTAAACCCAAAACCCTCACTAACCCCTAAACTCTAAACCCTCACTAACCCCTAAACCCTAAACCCTCAACCCCACTCCCGAATTTCGTCAACCCTCGGGCTCAAGGCCCTGAGCCCTAATCCCGAAGGCCTACCGCTATCCGAAGCACACTGAAAGATCCGATGGTTTAGGGTTTAGGGGTTAGGGTTTCAGGCTTCAGGGTTCAGGGTTTAGGAGTTTGGGTTAGGGTTTCAGGGTTTAAGTTGTTTAGGGTTTATGGTTTGAGGTTTAGGGTTTAGGGTTTGGGGGTTAGGGTTTACGGTTTAAGGTTTAGGGTTTAGGGGTTTGGGTTTAGGGTTTAAGGTTTAGAGGCTAAGGCTTAAGGTCTAGGGATTAGGGGTTTAAGTTTAGGGTTTAGGGTTGAGGGTCTGGGGTCTGATAAATGTGCAAGGCAAGACTATTCCCCATTATAGGCCATGAAGATACATACACCCCCGAACCCTAATCCAGACACCCTAAACCTGAAACACCAGACCCTAACATGACATATTTCATATGATAGATTTACCGCCACAGTCCACGTTCAACTTGCCAAGGTCTTTAGCCCGCTGCTCCCAGCAAGAACGAAGGGCACCGCTGTCTTCTTCAACGAGGTGGTAGGCTGGGGCAGTCCACCATTTCTGCTGTACACTGGTATCAACACATACCGGCGTACAGCAACTACACCCGTAAACCCGAAAAACCCTAGACCCCAACACACTGAAGCCGAAACCCGAACCACGAAACCTGCCCAAACTCTCAAACCCGATAGCCCTTAAGGCCTAAACCCTAAGTAGTAAACCCGAAATTGATAAACACAAGCCGTTAGCCTGTTAAACCCTGAAGCCCTAAACTCCAAATCCTTGAAACCTTAAGCCCTAAACCCAAATCCTTAAAACCCTTAAGCCCTTAAGCCCTAAACCCCAAATCCTTAAAGCCCTTAAGCCCTTGAGCCCCAAACCCCAAATCCTTAAAGCCCTTAAGCCCTTGAGCCCTAAACCCCAAACCCTAAACCCTAAACCCCAAGCCGCAGGAGAGTTCTGGTACGACCTGTCCCTGATTGCCGAAGCGGCCCTTCCTGAAGAGATCCCTTTGATGCAGTGCGAGCTGGGCAGGACCTGGTTTTGGGGATCGTGACATCCTATAGGTCTTAGGGCTTAAGGTTTAGGGCTTAGGGTTTGGGGCTTAGGGCTCAGGGTTTAGGGCTTAGAGTTTAGGGTTTAGGCTTAGGGTTTATCCCTTGGGGCTTAGGGCTCAGGGTTTAGGGCTGAGGGTTTAGGGCTGAGGGTGTAGGGCTTAGGGCTTAGGGGTTAAACCCTGAACCCTAAAACCCAAAGGCCGAATAGGGGTTTAGGGTTTAGGGTTTTGAGGGTTAAGGGTTTAGGGTTTTGGGTTTAGGGTTTGTGGTCTTAGGGTTTAAGTAGGGTGTTCTGGTAAAAGATGTTCTTCTCAGGAATGAGGACGACAACGACCACTAGTACTGCTACAATGCCTGCTACTGCTACCGGCGTGCTCCCTATAGCAAACACAAGCCGATACACTAATCGCAATAACTGTAGCAGGATTGGTAAATCAGCGCCGTTGTGCAAATAGTCATCACAGCCACATCCTAGCCACAACCCTAAACCCCGAAGCTCTAAACCATAAAGCCTTATTCCTGAAAGCACCGTAGAAGCCCTCAGCCCCAACACCTGATAGTAAACCCTAAACCCTAAACCCTGAACCCCAAACCCAAGAGTATAATGTAGAGGCCTTAGTAATTAGAATAGGGTTTTTGGTATATTCTACTGTAATTATAATAAGGAACCACCAAAAAATGGTAGAGGTAATTCTTTAGGCTTCTAGATTAAAGCCCAACCCCTCGGTGTTTGCAGGACGGCACAGACAACGGTGAAAGTCGACAACCCCACCGGCCAGGAGGTGGTCAGGAGCCAAGAATGGGTTTAGGGTTTAGGGTTTTAGGGTTTAGGGTTTTAGGGTTTTAGGGTTTAGTGTTTAGGGTTTAGGGTTTTAGTGTTTAGGGTTTAGGGTTTAGGGTTT